GCACAATTTAAAACATCTACTTAGTAATTATTTCTTTTTAAGAATATAGGAATTCAACTTCTGTATGACAGCTAAATTATATAACTATTTATAAATGGTAATTTGTTCTAAGGGGAATAGCAATCCATAGCTTTTTAACAGTGTATGTTTCCCCGCATGCCGATTGTAAATTAAGTTGTTTGGAATTTCCTCGGAAGAAAACCTTCTCCTTACCTACTCCTATCGTACTTATAGATGATAACCAACTCTACAGGACCAGTTCTTATTCTTCAATTTTTTTTTATCGATGTGTGCTATGACAAAAATACGTTTGTATCTAAATCATGAAATAGTTTTATGGGATCGTGTAACGCACCCTACCGCTTAAACATGTAGCTGTTTCAGCTTTTGCTCGAGGTAGATAGAAGAAATAGTTATCCTCCTCTTTTATATCACACTTGGTGTAATTGAGACTAAGACGAGAAAACTCGTCTTTCATACACGTAGAATCAACTAATTCGGTATCAGGAGGAACTGCATATGACGACATTTTATTGTAGAACCTAAAAATGAAAGAAACAACATAGCAACTTTTTCCCATTAAACACAGTAGTGATGATTAAACATATTTGAATATTTCTATGTCATTCATATAGACTACGATGGTTTCAGATGAGTAACTGAAAATCAAGAAAATACTAGGTACAAAATTGAGCTAGAAAGTTCATATATTGCAATTGCCATGTTTCTTTTTATTCTTTAAATATAAAATCCGCAATGTTTAACATCTTTTTGTACCCTCCATGCACTGTTGATTAAACTGTATTTCCTTTTACCCCTAAGGCATGCACCAGGGGCTTAGAAAATTTGTAGTCCACAGTTCAACGACTGAATGAACGTGATTCTTTTATAAACAAGAGGCCCAGGGGCAACAGCGCTCACCTGAGCACTTTACCCCCCCCCTCCAGGCGTTCATCATTTGAACAAACTTGAATCTACACTACCTGAGGATGATTCCATATATATATATCACTAATCATAGCTTTGAAGTACTTGAAAAGAAGATTTTAAAAGGTTTCCATATATATCCCTACGTAAAACTTGGGTCGGCCATTTTGGCCCCACCCTAGCCCCAGGGATCATGATTTGAACAAACTTGAATCTGCACTACCTGAGAATGATTCCACATGAGTTTCATCTTTCCTGGCCCAGTGGTTCTTGAGAAGGATTTTTAAAGATTTTTTCTATATATTCCTATGTAAAACTTGGGTCGGCCATTTAGGCTTCATCCTTGCCCCAGGGGTCATGATTTGAACAAACTTGAATCTACACTACCTGGGAATGATTCCACATGAGTTTCATCTTTCCTGGCCCAGTGGTTCTGGAGAAGAAGATTTTTAAAGATTTTTCCTATATATTCCTATGTAAAACTTGGGTCGTCCATTTTGGCACCACCCTTGCCCCGGGGGTCATGATTTTTATCATGCTCAGGTGAGCTAAAAAGATGAGTTAATAAATATTTGAAAAGTGAGAAGTTGAATGTGCATTATATATTTTCAACAACAAGCCCATGGGCCTTATAGGTCACCTGAGTATCATGTAACAACTTTTCAGCAATAGAATTTGGATCGTTTTTTAAAGCAGAGGCCATGAAATTCAAATTAACAATTTTGATAGAGGCACGATTGCTTTTCATTACTATACACTAAGCATGCTTACTTTGGCATCTTAATACCAAGAGGTAGATCAGAATAAGAAAGAGAAATTCATTTCCACTTTATAACCAATTGTGGACCCCATATAAAAAGAAACAAAGTGACTGATCTTGGACAAATATTTCAAAATTTTGGAAATTTTATCAAATTTTATTTCATCATAAATGGTTCATTAATACCAAAGAGCAGATTTCAAAGCATTAATTTATTATTATAACAATTTTGGAAGAGGCATCTTTCTTCATCATAAATATGTACTTAGATCATTGGCATAATACACAGGGCGAAAGGAAAATGTGTTCAAAGATTTCATGCATTTTCACCATATAAACAACAGAGCCCAACCCAACACCAGAACCCCTGAGCCAGGGGCCCTGAAATTCATAAATTTGAAAGAGGAATCCTTCCTCATCATAACTTTGTACATAGTTTATTGGTTTAATACCCAGAAGCAGAGGAGAAGATTTTGAAGAATTTATGCATTTTCACTATATGATCAATAGAGCCCCGCCCTAACACCAGAAAGCCCAACATGCTCATCATAATTATGTACTTGGTTATTTTATAAAATACCAAGAGCAAAAGCGATTTTTAAAGAAATTGAGCATTTTCACTATATAATCTATATAGCCCCGAGCAAGCACTAGAACCCCTGACCCTGTACCATGAAATTCACAATTTTGAAAGAGGCAGCCTTATTCAACATAACTATGTACTTGATTAAGTTATTTAATGGCCAGGAGCAGAGAAGATTTTCAAAAAAATTTTAGAACCCCTGACCTTGCAGCTGGGGCCATGAAGTTCATAATTTTGGTAGACGACTCAATGTTGATAACAAGCAAGCCAACAGTTTCACTGCGTGATGTCCAGGAGTAGAAAGGAAGATTTTTAAAGATTGCATTAATTTAGTGGTTATTGTCTCCATCCCTCAGGCCCCCGGGGGGCATGAAATTCACAATTTTTGTTCCCCTTCACTCATAAATACTTTATGCCAAAATTGGTGAAATGGTTGCTGAAAAGAAGCTGAAAATGTTCATATGTTAATGCGCGACGCACAACGCTCGACGACGGACGAAAACAGATAGCAATAGGTCACCTAGGTGACCTTAAAATGAACAGTAATAAATCAAACTAAACATTTCACTTACGTGGGTAGTCCCAGTCGTTCACAAATGCCATAATACTGTGGAGTAGAGTACCGTGGATCATAGCCAGATATCCAGGAATTTCCTATTTTGTATTCCACGTTTTTAAAACTTGATGTCAGATTTCTTGTCGAATTTAGCCTCAAAGAATCTACATATATTATATATATGTTCAGTGTGTTATCTCATAAGTTTGTTGATATTAATTAATAGAGATCAAACCATTATTTGTTAAATTTTCTTCACTCTTCAAATAATTTCTTTTAAAAAAGTACCTTGGCAATTGAATCCTCGGTTTTCGTAGCCAGGTTTACATAGGCAGCTTGTACCGTTTTCGTTGACTTGACAAAATGCCACATCAATGTTACAGGTATTTGTCTTACAATTGCAGAGATCCCCTTCATAACCAGATTTACAGATACATTTTCCGGATCTCTTGTCACATCGTTCTGTGTTTGTTACATTACAGGGACAGTCATAGCATTCGTTTTTGCTGAAGTAGGACCAGTCAGGGCATTCTTAATTCATAAAAGAGCAAAATAATTAAAATTCACAAGAAAAACAAAACGTTTGCCTGAAAACCTTCTATAAGTATTCGTCTGTTTTAACACTAAGTAAATAGTTTTTGACCAAACTCATATATACAAATAATTTGATTCTAGTTGTAACGCTGTATTTGATTGGATAAAAAATTATTTTATATAGTATAAAATGGGTTGCCTACGTCACAATGACTTGCGTCAAAAACGTATCAATCCGCCTGACGTTACATTCAAATTTTGTACAAACTGAAGTAATTTTGTTAGAACAATCATCTTTTTTTCTTACATCAAATAAATGAAAATTAAATTATAAGCTTCAAGGTTTATAAAGAATAAACTGTCTAAACCCAGTTTATACCGTATATAATGGGTAGCTGTTAAATTCATTCCTTAAATAAAACATAAATATTTTAGATTCCTTAAAAATGGAATCTGATTGGATAAGACCCAATAACTAAATCAAAATGTAACACTCTGCATCATTGATACGTCACAAGCGTGTAAGTTATATGTGCTTAATCTAATTTTATCCCATGTTTACCTCTTTATCCCGTGGATATAGCTCATGTGATATCATTTTCATATCATAAAGTTGTGACGTCACAATGGGTCTTGCGTTAGCGTAATGAGGTAAAATAAAGTGGAGTCCTCTATAGGTTTTATATGTCTCTGATAAAAACAGTGTTAAACATTGATTCTAATGAAATTGTTTTGTATAACACGATTTGATTGGCTAATGGACTGATGTTTGAAGCAGTAAAACGAGCATTTACGCGAGTGAAAGCTTTTTACTTTGACGTCATAATAAAGCGACGCAAAAACACAATGCCCCTTGACGTATTTCTTGTAACGAAAATCAACAAAATAAGACGCAAACAACAAACAAAATGCATAGAATGCATTAGAATGGGAAAAACTAATCTTCTGATTTAGTATTTGCGTCCGTTAATGCTGATTTAACGGTCGCAAATATCCGTTTTACCGGCTACGCTAACGCGTCGCCGGTAAAACTCAATTTGCGACCGTTAAATCAGCATTAACGGTCGCAAATACCAAATTAGAAGATAGTTATTCTCTAATTGTGGTGTATAAATATAAAAAACATGGTTACTGTCTTGAAATATAAGCGATATTTGGGCGAGGGTAAGAAAACGTGATAGAGGGCGAGGCTTGCCGAGCCCTCTTACGTTTTCGACCCGAGCCCAAATATCGCTTATATTTCAAGACAGTTATCATGTAGGCCCCTATTTTGTTTATCCTGCAACAAAATTTTACATTTTTAACGTCCAAAACAAGTTATTTCCGACAGATTTAGGCACATTTCTGCAATAGAAACTATGACGCCATGACGTAAACATTGCAATATACGTGGCGTCACAATGCTTTTAGAACGTCGGAATACATACACGAGGCTTTATTAGGGCAGTGACCGAATAAAGCTTTGGTTTATTAGGTTACCTTTATTAGGTCGATGCAAGGGGTAGTTGCAGGATGAAACAAAAAGTAAAACATGGGATAAAAGGAACATCACATGATTTGTAGTTGGATATGATTTTTTTTCTAACTCACTGTGTTTTTTATATATATATTTATATATCATATATATGAAACACACAACTCGCTGGATTATAATCATATCCAATTACTAATCATGTGAGATCCTATTTATCTTGCAAATCTTACCATACATTTTGTTAACAACGGCATGTATCCTCAAACAATATGTTGTTTAACATCTTCATGTAAACTACTTACCTCAACAAAATGATCACTCCATTAAGTATAAAAAAGAAGAGTCGTTATTGGTAATAATCGGTCCTTTTGTTAATATTCTTAGGGGTAAAAGAGAGTCTGTTCCAAGCTTAAGGTGAGGTACACGAATCATAAAATGTATTTAAAATTTACCTGATAAACACTGAAGTTGCACGATCCCGTTGTCACATATAGAGGGACTATCCTCAAATTTCAGACATTCCGCTCTGGGAGAGGTAAGTGGAGTCCTACATCGTTCATCTATCTTAAACTTGTAACCCTTCGGTGCAGTGTAGACTTCCTTCAGGCTTATTACGCGTCTTTGAACAATATTTAATAAAACAGTATAATTTGAATCTTAATTTCAATTTTAATGTCCGAATAATAATACCCCCCAACCAATGCAGCAGCATTCTATTGCAGATAAAAGTGTTACATTAATTATTATGGTGAGTTTTTCTTTAGAAACCTCAATAAGCTTTTTAAAGAACTCTAACTGGAAAATTTTTCTACTTTCAATTTTACTTTCACATTTTCTGAAATCATCGTGTTAAAGAGCACCCCCACTTTCTGTTTAGGCCTACAAAGAATGTTGCAATAGTTTTTATTTTAATGCGAAATTTGTTTCTTTCTTCATTGATCATTTTTATATGATTTCTTATATTAATCTTCCTTCACAATTCTGATTGAAAATTGTGTTAAATTTGAAGGTTTTAAAACTTTTACTTGCATTTTTCTTAAATGACATGAAAAAAATTTATTCTAATATGCCTTTGTTATATGGAATAAAATCTTACGAGGGTAGGTTCATTGCTCGACAAAGGACACGGTCAGTTGAAAATCCCGTCAAATCATGACAAACATAATTCCACTTGTTGTCTTTATGATACTGTAATGTATTGTTTGCTTTGTCCAATCGAAGCCTCTCTACACCAGAAAAAGAATGAAATATTCAAATGTGACTAACATGTATAATACCTGTAATTCATACACAGTGGACCCTCGGATATTCGGATGCTTCAGTATCGGGACGACTTTTCCTCGGAACAGAATTTTTTAATGTTATATGTTCTTGTTTAACTGGTAATTCAGATATCCTGACGCTTCACATATCCGGACAAATTGACAAGGACCAAAGCGTCCGGATAGATGAGGCTCCACTGATTTCATATAGTTGCAATACGTACCAACACAAGATGACGTTGCTTTGTTTCCATATTTGCAGTAACATGTACCATTTTCACAGAAGGATGTTTTCAGATCACACGTGTGATTTCCTTTAGAACAGGAGCAAGTTTGGCCCTCAAACCCAGCCTTACACTTACATTCCCCGGATGTTTTATCACAGGAGAGAGTGTTCGACTGAACACATTGGCAATTTATGCAATCACTTCCAAATGTAAATGCTGGACATTCTGAAAAAAATGTCTTTTTTTAACAATATAATGTTTTTCCTCCTCATCAACTTATTCCCAAATTTTGATGCTTAAAAAAGTCGGTCATCTAGGAATTGATTTTATTGGAACAAATATGAACATGAAATAACAAATAAAAATTATAAATTTATCTGGAGATTTGGCCTGATTCTGAAAAGGCCGCGTGGTGCAGTGGTTCGAGTCTGCTCTTAATTCTTAATTAAGACTAGATGTAATGAGTTTTTCCTCTCTCTTTAACGTTTATAAAATCAAAAAAAGCACAAAACCAAAGGAACTTTAATTCGGAAATTTTGGGTTGCTCAATTGTTATTAAGGCTATTCCACCCTCCTATGATTTCATAGGCTATTGCAAAATCTGTCATTGATTTAATTTAACACCCAATAAAAATGTATCTTTTGAACAAATGCCTTTCAATAGGTGAAATATCAATTATTGTTTAGTAAATGAATATCTTTTTTATTTAGTCAATTATTTAATATTATTTAACCTAAACCATTTTGCAAGGGGCAATAAATCCTTCATCTTCATTCAGCATTTTTCGTCATTGTCGTGTAATGTTAATTAAAATATTTGCCATGTTATTCGCAATTAAAACATACTAGTTTTTGCACAGCAACAATTAAGTTAGAACTTTCAGCATCATTTGAAATAGTTTTTTTTGCCTGACTGTTTACTAAAATTATACGATTTTTTATTGTTGGCATGTACTTCTGTTTATTTAATTATTATATCATAAGAAATATGACAACATATATATTTTAAGTGATAACTAGTTAATTTTCGAAAATGATTACGTTTTTCTACTTTGAATCCATAAAAATTGAGAAGATGAAAATACCTGAAATATATCAAGGACAGAAAAAAGAAAAATTATAAACGTCTTCTGTTTATTTTTTCGATGGAAAAAAATATTTCAAGCTTTGATTGAAGAAAAAATAATTGTCGCCCTGTACAAAATAAATTTCTTAAATAAAAGTACAAATTTAATTGTACACAAGCCTTTCTTCTGAAACAATTTAAAATATATCATTTTAATTTTCTTGATCATCAAGATTTACATTTATCATAAAACACATTTTCTAAAACAGCAAAATGAATTTTCAAAAAATGAAGCTAAATAGGTCTATTACTTTGAATTTTTATCAATCTATTTACCTTCGCCACAAATGAGTCCAAGATCTTCAAAATGGTTACAATACGCGGTAGAGGAGGTGTAACACTGGGATATTCTCTCCTCTGTACCAGCACACTGTATAGATCCGTAATGGATTGGGCCGCTGCCCGGGCCATAATATGCCTCTTTACGAAAATCTGTGTAAGTGCTGTCAAAAAATGATCTAAAGGCACATGTACAGGAGAAAGTGATGGAAACAGGATCAAAGTAGTATTTTCAAATATGATAATTAAATCATATTAAAGGTTTCTTAAAATTAAATTTTCAGTATTCATGTCAAAATCTGATTAATATAATCCATTATTTTTTTCAACATTATTCATCAATGTAAGACGACTATACCTTGGCAGACCAAGGCTTCTACACATGACCTTGGTCATTTTAGTTCCGGGAAAGGCGTTGTCATCACAAACTGTTCCCCAACTACCGTTAACGTAAAGCTCCACTCTTCCGGCGTAGATTTTCTTTCCATTACTTGTTACAGTTGTTGATTGATTTGCTAACCGTATGGGATCTAATCAATGACAATTTTTTTTTTCAAAAATAGATGCACTGCTACGCAATTAATTTTCCACCAAAAATAATCAAATGAAATCAATAAAAATATCCCTTTCACACATTAAAGACATCAGTTTGTATCTGCATTCTTTTTCCATGATCCGAAAAACGTCGAATATTTCTCCAAAACAATTTTTCTTTTTGAACTCAGCCCTTCATAATACTTATTTTTCAGTATGTCAATCGAGGAGGCCCTCGATATTATCTTTATAGGCTTATATCCAAAACTTGTGCTGAGGAGGAACATAAAAGAAAATATATACCTGTACAACTGTAATTCTTTTTTCCAATAAAATTGGTTTTACAAAGACACACTGGTGTCCCTGATTCTGCATGACATTCTGATACTGTGTTATTACATGGATTATTTCCCTTTTGGCAATCACAGGTGGCGCCAGTGTAGCCTGCTTTACATTTACAAACTCCCGTGGTTGAATTACAACTTTCTGTATTTGTTCTGTTGCATGAACAAAATGTGCAATCTTTTCCATATCTCCACTCTGGACAGGCTGAAAAAGTGATTTGCAAAATTCCATGACTTCGGAGGTTTCACATTGATATCATTACATGCATTAATTTAACTTTGTAAAGGGGTGTCATCTACTTCTTGAAAATTGTTCTAAATGATTGAAATAGTCTGTCATATTTCATAAATTGTAAAGGTAAAATATGGCCCATGAACATTAAAATTTATATCTCTGAAAATCTCATAAATATTCATATTTTCTCATCCAGATACTTGTATACTTTAACTACATACATTATATAAACGTATCAATAGAATACATGTAAGTGTTAATGCTTTTTTGAAATTTTCTTTTCATCCAAAAGAAAATGCATTGTGACTTTACTTTAAATTCACAAATATGCAAAATAACTACAAACTCTAACTCTTGATTCCCGCCTACATTTTGCACCCATTAAATTCAATATTAATGGCAATTTGGTCATTGAATCTTTGTTTAAAAAAAGAACAGTTCTATAGTTATTGATTAATCATGTTAATTCCAGCGCTAGATAATAAATTAACATTAATACTAGCTCTGAAAAAAGGGGGGGTAGACGATATTTTCAAGTGAAATCGAAGTTTCAAGAATCACCATATTTTGAAATAGTCTTAAACATGATAAATTGTATCTAATGTCTTTTTTTTACGTTTTACGCAAATAAATAAAACATATTTCAATTAATAAAATACAATTATTTAGTTATGAATAGCTTTAAAATTGGTGAAAAATCAGCATTTGTTTCGTTTTTTGTCTAGAAACATATGTCCCCCCCCCGTGAAACACAAAAAGCTTTGGCATAAATTTGTAAAATGACTGTCCATATTACCTGTAAAAAGGAACTTTTGTTTCACGGGGGAAAAGCTGTTTAAAAAATATTTTCCGTTTTCCGTTGATTTCTATAGTGAAAACACAAGTTTTACCAAAATTATAGAGTTATCTCTCTTTGGTATCCCAAATAAGTAACGTTTTATGAAAATTCATATTCATATCTATAAAAATTTCGAAAATCATTCGTTAACTTTTGAGAATTGACTTAGAGGTAGGAGGGAGAATAATACTATTGTTCGTAGTTCTTTTCATAGATGAATAAAAAAAATTTCTAAAGAAGATAGTCAGCTTTAAAACAAATACGAGGGGTTATCAAAAAGTTCGTGACTGGCGCCATAAAATTAAAACCGCTTTAAGTACATCAATGAATTTTAAAATATCTGGTTAGCATCATCTTTTCTATCTATAGAATAAACCGCAGATCATAAATTTTATTTTTAAATAAATAAGTGATGCTTTTGTAAGCTATGGTATGTCCAAGCGGCGCAACCTCGAATATGGCGTTTTTTCGACCGAAGCATAACTAAGAAAAACTCCTTTCATATGAACATTTGACATCCAAAAATCTGATAAATTCAGGTATATGGTGGGATACTATTGCTTCATAAAATATGAAGTTTTCAATTCATTCTGAAAGTTCTATGAAAATTTATCGTTAATTTGACATGGAGTGTCTAAACAAATAAGTCCTTGAAAATGACGTCAAAAGGGGGGAGGGGTTTCATTTTCCAACATTCTATAAAGTTTTGGCCCTGAAAAAAGTGGTATAGACCTAGGATATGTTTAAACTCGCTATGGAGAAAATAAATGTATCCAGATTACTTTTTTTTTCAATGCAAAAGAGGTTCTGAGAGAAAAGGGATGCACAGTTAATGTCGATTCCTAGTCAAGGTGTGAAAAATCATTCACGTCAAAAAGTGACGTTGATCATATGTTGCAGATATTAAACTCCCAAAAGCAAAATATTTATGAGGATCTCTCCCAATTTATCAATCCATTTGCAATATTATATGCTTAAAGCCGCTGTTCCTGACATTTTAAAGTCATAAAAACAAGACGGGTTTAAGTCCTTACTCAACTCCAGGGAATCTCATCAAATTAAGTGTATGAGGTAGACGAAGCGGACATTGAAAAACAATGACGTTGTGGGACGTCATGAAATTAACGGCGACGGCGCCGGGTAACCATATAATGTCTTTTTTATTTTATCATATTTTAGCAAAAAATGAACGAATCAAGCTCAAATTTTCAACATTTCTTTATTTTTTGTTGCTTTATGTCCCTTATAAATTTGGAAAGCACAGAATACATAGTGCTAATTTTATAGCCTCAGTCCTCGAACTTTTTGATAACCCCTCGTAAATTAACCTAATGAAGAAGCAGCTTTTTTTCATAGGAAAGCTATTAAAAGCGATATCATCATGATAAAAAATAGCTGCATGACAATTGTTCATAGTGATAACACTTTTAAGTTAAATAAGACTAAAACTGAGCATTAAATGTTTTCAAAAGGAAGCTTTCTGTAATAAGGAACAAAATGCGTTTGAAGGAAAAAATCCTCATTATCTTTGAGTTCGAAGATACAGATTTAATTTATATAACCTTGAAATCGATCAAAATGAATCTCTTTTCGATCTTAAAATAAATATTCTTAAAGAGTATTTAACTAAAATGCTTGCTTTTTCTCCAAACCAATTGTACTTATTATGATGCAAGAAGCTGAAATATATTTATTCCAGCGAATTTTGAAATCTAAGATTTTTTTTCAAATTTATTTTCATTGTCTTACGTTGACGTCTTTTAAAATTGTTTTAATATATGAAATATGTGGATATAATAAAAAGAAATCGAGCTAAAAAGTCTATTCAACGATACAAAATAGGATTTTCAAAACCTCAAAGGTGGGATCATGTGTCGTGGAGGAGTGAGCATCCCCTGCCGACCGGTCACAATCGTCGTGTGCTTCTTGTATTGATAAGAAAATATAAGAAAGTCCGTCTACAATTCAGTGTGTAAATAATAGCCTAACAATCAGTGTGAAAAAAGTCAGTCAGCAATTGACATAAAAAATGATATATTGTATTATTTGACAAGGTCATCATATCGACCATTGAACTTAAAACTAAATGATGAATTTGCATTAATGTTACAAAAATATTTCCTGTAATATCAACATTAAAGTCTTTTAATAAAAGATGAAGATATACATGTACACAAAGTAAAGCGTGCATTACCTCCAAAGCATTGAATCCCAACAGGCTTTAGAGCTAGGTTACACTTTAATGCAGGCGCCATGGTTATGTTACAGTCTTTCATAGAAGTCTCTGTACCGTCACATGAAGCCTCAGCTATTTCGTAATCAGGCAGATTACTTTTGTGAATAAATGCGGAGTAATATGAACCGGTATGTACCCTAAAAGTAAAAACAAACGTCACTCAGATAATCGGAGATTACAGTGGTGTCTTTAAGTAAAGCAAAGTCCCACATTAAACTAATAATCATGGAGTTAACATCCCATGATGCAAATTTTATGTTATTTTGATCAGTTAGGACTTGCAGTTACTTGGGAATAGACGTATTCAAAAAAAATTAATTAGTCATCTATCAAGAAAATGTAATTCCAATCTATTATCTGAAGCAAAGTTGAGAGTGTTATCTATTGATGCATCATCCATGCAGGTTTAGCTAGTATAGGCTTAATAGTCTATTTGACCCGCCCTGCATGCACGTGACTTTTTTAACCGCTGCTATCGATGAACCAGTGATGGAGAAATCTAGCCTTGTAGTGTGCATCGCATCTTTATATGAATCACCTGTTCAAGTTTATTTATCATAGGGCGCATAAATACTTGGGATTGAGACACAACTTTTAACTGCCCCTAAAATGTTAAACTGGTTATTCCTTTACTGAAATTGCAGCGTCTGAAACCCTGACTGGTACAATGAAACACACTAGAACCATCTTCCATGCATATCTGATCAATGTAGGACAAACAGGTACTTAAAAATAAACTTGCACCAAAACCCTTAATCTGGGACGCCGACGCCGAGGGTATAACAAAAACTTCCCCAACTTCGTTGAGATGAGCTAAAAACAATGTAATCTTACAAATTTAGAAATAATTAAAGTTGTCTGCGTCAACTGCCTGCATCTCCGTCCTGATTACATTTTATTCGTTATATCACATCAATTAACTCAAATAAATGCAAATACCTTGAAAAAGGGAAATACATGTATAACAGTGATCGATCACATAAAAATTACAATAATCAAAATCTGTTAACTGATCATAAAAACAGACCCAGGTAACTAAAAAGTAATTTATATCTATTATAGAGAACCTAGAGTATATTTAATATACATGTAAATATGATAAATGAAAACTTACACTGGTAGTCCAAGCTGTCTGCAGATAACGTTAAGTACGCCGAAAACATTTTTCCCTGAAGGATTAGAGTACCATAGACACAAGGGATTCCAGGTCCCATTACTGTAAAACTCCACCTCTCCTTTATCCACAGCGGACCTATCCATAAACCGCAGGCCAAAATCTGCAAAACAAAAACAGGAATAGTGAGTAGCAGGTACGTCCTTCCCCCACACTCCGGATTGTTTAACATTAAAGACAGATGATATAAGCAAACTTTTGTCATAAGAATTTTGAAAATGACGACTTCTCATGTTTTAATGAGCAAAATAAACGTTTTATTGGGTAGTTTTTAATTTTTCAATAAATCTTTCAGAATAATTGAATTAAAATGAAACATAATTGTTTCTCTGATGTTTTGGAGGTCCTTATTTGTTCTGTTTGTTTTTTGTATTGTTTGATGGATTTTTGAGCTTAATGTTATCTTCATATAAATACACTATGGATGGTAGCAGAAAAGTAGAAATTGAACATCAAAGAAGAAGGCTTACAATTCCTAGATATATAAGGTTTTTTGATTTGTATCAGTTACGACAAAAATAGGCCTGGGAATATATGCCTATCCAAGCATCCATTATTTTGTATGTATCACCTGTCCTTATAGCATTGTTACTTTTTATGTCACTCACCTTTACATTTATTCCGGGGTGTTGCTGATACCCCCTTTTTACAAAGACATATTGGTTTTCCATTGTCCAAATGACAAATGGAGGTTTTGGAATCACATGTGTGCTTTCCAGTCAGACAGTCACATGTTTCTCCAGAAAACCCGGCTTTGCACGTGCATTTTCCTGTATCACTATCGCATTTCTCAGTGTTGTTCTGATTACAAAAGCATGGAAGGCAGTCGTTACCATAGCGCCATGTCGGACATTCTTAAAGACAAGAGACAAAAGAATATAAAAGTTGCTGTTCTTCAAAAAGAACAGTATGGATGTATTTCTTACATATATCATCTGAATACAAACTGTGTGGCAAAGAAACAAATTTATTGAAAATAGCTCTCATTTTCACTGAAAGCATGTAATTTTTTTCATTATATTTAATGTAATTGTCTTAAACTGTAATGACGTACTTAGAAAATAAATAAAGCTAATTAATAGTTGTACTTCTTCGCCTTTTATCAGAAAAAGAAGCGAAGAAGAATTAATGGTTTTAAACCAATGTAACCCTGCCTTAAGGTACATTGATACTCTGATAAGAGAGATGACTCTTAATGACACAAATGTTTATTATTCCTTTATAAATTCGTAAAGTTTAAGCGCCTTTTTTCAAATTTTGCCCCGCAAGCCATGCTATAATTGTTTGTATTTTATTCAGCATATACATTTCCTTTGGAAAATCATAAAAGTTAAAGACAAGAGGCCCATGGGCCACATCGCTCACCTGAGCACTGTGGCTAGGAAAATGTAGAAATTGATTTATTATTGAATAGATGAAATCCAGCAGTAGTCCCAAGACCAATCATGGCTTTGCAATTCTTGATAAGATGATTTTTAAAGAATTTTCCTGTATATTTCTATGTAAAACTTTGGTCGGCCATTGTGGCCCCGCCCTACCCCCAGGGGTCATGATTTGAACAAACATGAATCTACACTACCTGAGGATGCTTCCATATAAATATGATCAATCATGGCTTTGTAATTCTTGAGAAGAAATTTTTAAAGAATTTTCCTATATATTTCAATGCAAAACTTTGGTCGGCCATTGTGGCCCCGCCCTACCCCCGGGGGTCATAATTTGAACAAACTTGAATCTACACTACCTGAGGAAGCTTCCATATAAATATGATCAATTATGGCTTTGTAATTCTTGAGAAGACGATTTTTAAAGAAATTTACTACATGTATATATTTCAATGTAAAACTTTGGTCGGCCATTGTGGCCCCGCCCTACCCCCAGGGGTCATGATTTGAACAAACTTGAATCTACACAACCTGAGGATGCTTCCATATAAATATGATCAATCATAGATTTGTTATTCTTGAGAAGAAGATTTTTTAAGAATTTTCCTATATATTTCAATGTAAAACTTTGGTCGGCCATTTTGGCCCCGCCCTACCCCCGGGGGTCATGATTTGAACAAACTTGAATCTACACTACCATGTAAATTGAAGATTTGCTTCCCAAAAAGTTTCACCCCCGGGGGTCATGATTTGAACAAACTTGAATCTACACTACCTGAAGATGTTTCCCAAAAAGTTTCATCTTTCCTGGCACAGTGGTTTTTGAGAAGAAGATTTTTAAAACATACCACCAAATTTTCATTAATTTCCAATTATCTCCCCTTGAATAAGGGCATGGCCCTTCATTTGAACAAACCTGAATCCCCTTCACCAAAGGATGCTTTGTGGCAAGTTTGGTTGAAATTGGCCCAGCGGTTCTTGAGAAGAAGTCGAAAATGTGAAAAGTTTACAACGATGACGACGACAACGACGACAACAACAACGACGACGACGACAGACAACGGACAAATTGTGATCAGAAAAGCTCACTTGAGCCTTTGGCTCAGGTGAGCTAAAAAAATTCATATGAGTGATCAGAGGGTTTATCTGTCTTAACATCGGGAATATGATCCCAACTCTGATGTTTTGGTGGTCCGTGTTTGCTCTACTCCTATTTTGTTTTGTTTTAAGGACTTTTGAGCTTGAATACTGTTCGTTATCTCCATATATTTCAACATAAACCTTGCCCAATGAGCTTAGAATTTCACAACTACGATAGAGATACTCAGTGATTAAATACTTTACATTTCATTTGTTTGGTAAATTCTTTTAAGTAAGTACTATATATATAGTTTACTTTAATTAACTTTAGTAAAGCGATTTTTACAATGAATTTCAGATAGATCTATTTTATTTTTCAAACTTCCTTCAAGTACTTTTTTAAATTAAGACAAACTTTTTCTTAAATATTTACATATTTTATTTTTGAAATTATGTTATTTACGATATAATGATGCACTAAATCTTTTAAAAAGTTCTAGTGTAAGGTTTCATATAGTAAATCAAAGTGTCAAAGTATTCACTAAGGTAAACAATATTTATCTGCAGTAAATGTTGGATAGGGAAAGAGTGGAGAATATTTTCAAAGGCATAACGCATTTTCACAGTATAATCGATGAATTCCCATCCTAAAACGAATACCCTCTGATGCAAAAAGAGGAATTTAAAGATTTGGGGGACATTTTGTAAAAATAAAAAAACAATATGTAGTTCTTACTAAAACTATACAGAGAAAGTTTCTAACAAAAACAAGTCGTTTTTTCTGGTGTAAGTCATTTCAACAGAGACAACGTCAATTGTTTCAGTGTCTTTTGCAATTTCTGTCATTCAAGCCTAAAAGTGACGGTTTCCTCTTTTGCAATAATTGCTCTTCAACCCTTTACGAGTTTTCATTGTGGCTACGGACTGATCTATTATCATTTTTCCGTTGAAATGTGGTTGGCATTGTTTGATTTGAATGAAAAAAATTGTTGTTTCATATTTCTGGTGTACTAAAGTGGCATTTGAAAACATATTTTATTTCCAAAACGCAATACATTAACCAACAATCATTAGTTATATGAGTATATAGGCACTGGCATTATATCAATAACTAACACATATACCAGGGGTATTTGTACGTTGAAAATCACAGGCCTTATGGCAACTAAATTAAACACAACCAAGTAAAGTTTGCATAAAGACTCATAAATATATTTCTGTTATTATATAAGATGAATTTAAAGTATAGGCAAAATGCGAGAGGATTTTACATATAATGGTCCACTACTTCTGCTTAACATTGTGTATATATCGCATAAGTAGAAAAACACTTAGATATACCACTTCAGCCACTTCAGATTCTTAGTTAATCTTATCCTATACTTATCAGCTACACAAACGGGGAAACAAAAGTGTAGTTCTCATCGTCCGCGTGGCGCAGTTGTTAGAGGGTCTACTCTAGAGTCGCGGAGTAAGTAGTTGAAACTTGCGTCGCGAGTTATATATATATTCATAAAATGTTGGCATTATGTTGATGTACATTTAGGGATGCCTGCTTTCAGACTTGATTCAGATGCTGGATCTAGGGAAATTTTCCAGATAATGGTGAAATTTCATTCCCAAGTTAGTATTCACCCCTTTGGTAACCAAATTTGCATGATATACATTTAGGGATGAACAACTACCAAACATACTTCAGATGCTGGATATAACTTACAATATTGGGCACTTTATTTTATTTCAAAATAACTATGATCCCCGTGGTGATAAAACTGGTATCCCTGATGCATCTGTGATTGCACACTACCATATACTACTAAGCTTTAGATGCTGGATCTGACCAAAAAATTCTGAATAACTAGCGAATCAGATCCAAGCTTTTGGAGCACCATGTTTCGCTACCAAAGGGATAATTGTAATTCAAAATAAACTTGCTTCTTATACTTTAATCGGAATACCAGCGCCTACGCAAATGTTGAGGTATAGAATAAGCCTAGCTGCATAACTGTAGCTAACCAAAAATATATATTGACAGACCGGAGATTAACAGTGCCATCATTGAAAAAAATGTATATTTATTGCGCATAAAAAGTTGCGCTTGGTTCAGGATTAACTCTTCCAACGTGATCGAGAGGCCCGGGTTCGCCCGTTCTCGGCGCCGCGTCATACCTTAGACGTAAAGATAGGTAGTGATTGTTCCTTCGCCAAGTGCTCGGCACTAGAAGTAAAAGTCAGGGGTCTTTTGAATGTGACCTTAAAAAAGTATATATTTAGACGATTTTCGATGTTCTCATTTCAGGGCAAGGAGGGTTACTTACACCAGTTATAAGGAAAACTTTGTTGTCAAAACAGTGAAAGAATGTTATATTATTAGGGACATACGGTTAGTAATATTTTGGTAGGACAGTTTCAAAAACACGGAGAAATAAATCGAAAAACAGCGCACCAACTGTTTGGTGTGCATTAAATGTACATGTTTAGGTTTCTTTTTCAATGGGTGGAACTGTAATTTACATGTCAGTATATTTTTCGGAGAGCTACAGTTCGATCTGCTGTTAAGAATAAGCCCATCTAGACGTAATGGACTTAATAATAGAGAACAACTTGACCATTAAGTTGGCCCATGAACCACATGCATGAGAGAGTGTATTTACTCACGTGATCCACAAATGACTGCAAAACGAGGCAGATTGCCACAGCTCCCTAAAGGAATATCTTTGTCAAAATGATAAGGACATTTATGTAGAGCTGTTTCATTTCCAAGACAATGATAATTCCAATGCTGTATGGATTTAGACTCCTCGGGAATATCTTGGATGGATCGAAATTCTGCTACACATCGAGTTCTGAATAAATAACAAACACAGTATTGGGAGTATGTTCATCTCAGTATTTTCATAACAAACAGGAATATAATTTCAACAAGCTGTTACATCATTTCGACAGACGTTTGTCTGTCTGGATTTTTTTTAAATTAAATAAAATTTATAGTTAGTTTTCTTCATTTAATTGTTATCAAACAAGGAATAAATAAGCTATATATTTCAAACTTTTGTCAGGGTTTATTCCAAGATAGAGTCAGCATTTTCATCTTTAAAGCAAAAGCTCAAAGTGGATTAAAGTATCAAATATATGAATTTCTGACCTTTATCTTTGACACCGTGCTACCACGGGTTTTGTGTAAGTCATAGGGAGTTGTAATTATCTAAATTTGTCATCGCAAAATCTCAAACAGAAAATTCAGAACTTATCTAAAACTATGTTATTCCATTTTCTGACCTTCACAACGAAGAAATAGGAATCCTCTTTTACTATATAAACTTTTCTTTTATAGAAAAAAAAATCACCAAATATGGTAAGATACATGCATTTGTCTTTTAATTAGTTAAAAGATATATTTTGCTATAGTTTGATGGACAAAAGCAACTCACGATGGTTGTCCTACTTGTCTGCAAACAACACGTGCGTTGGCTGTATACCAGTATGGACCACATATTGTATGCCATTTCTGGTTGTAATGGGCTTCCACAATATAACTTCCATCCTCGGACTCAAAGTTCGTGAGTCGAATCAGATCGAAACCTTAAAGAATTCAACAATGTGCTTCACTGCAACATGGATTTTTTTTATTTGAACCATGAACATGCATGCCCTATGTAATGCATTCATGGCTCTAGTACATCATATGGAACATCCAGTTGTTAATTAAATTCTGTAAGTATTAATTAAAACTATAAAATTCTTTAATTTTCAACGAAGCATTAATAATTACCCTCCAATAACAGTATCATTATCCGGTTGTCTTTCTGTGTCCGTTTTGTTCTGACTATTAAAAAATGCTGCAATTCTTTTGTTTCATACGATTGCGGACCAAGCAATATTTATCACCATAACCGGTGCAAAGTACGATGTGACAGATTTTGGGACCATTCAATAGTGATGGACAAACACTCTTTTTGTAAGTGAGAGAACACTTTCTATTCAAAATGATATATGAATGGTAATTTTACTAATACATGAATATCATCCTGACATAAACCCACAATGAAAACCTGTCCTAAAATGTAAAACCTTCTTCTTCCTATCCTCACATTTCCAGATTGTTTTGAAATTCAATATTATCATTTAAAATTTAGGAAACACAAGCTACTCCAAGTAAAGCAATGCCAAAATCATCATATATCATTGAAAAGAAAGCAAAGGTAAAGAACTTTATTAGGTAATTACCAATATTTGCCCCCCCCCCCCCAAAAAAAAAATCAAACTTTGACTGAGAAAAATTTCATTACGTTCATAAATAGGGGTATATATGCTGACTTCAAAGCAGTGAATATTTTCATAAGCAATGACGTCATATGTTTTAAATGACGTCACAAAAATGACGTAAATTTAAATTTTTTCATGATTTCTATAGAAAAATATATATATTACGTCTATATTTTGAGCAAAAGTCACCGAGCGCAAGTCTGATCAGGCTCAATATTTTGATTGATTGATTATTGTTTAACGTCCCTCTTGAGAATTTTTCACTCATATGGAGATGTCACCGTATGCCGGTGAAGGGCTTCAAATTTAGACCTATACTCGGCACTCAGGGCCATTGAGCACTGAGGGTTCTTTATTGTGCCAGCGCCTACCGTGACACGGGACCTACGTTTTTAAGGTCATATCCGAAAGACCCGTGACTTTCACTTCTAGTGCCGAGCGCTTTGCGAAGGAACAGTCAATACCTTTGATTACGTCTTAGGTAAGACGCGGCGCCGCGAACGAGAATCAAACCCGGGCCTCCCGATCACGAAGCGAACGCTCTACCACTAGGCTACCGTGACCGGTCAATATTTGATATAATGTGTAGAATGATAATATCAATTAAATATGTAAATATCGTTCCTGAGCAAACTTGCGCTCTATAAATTTTAAAGCTAAAATTGTTGAAATTTTGTCCTTTTTCATAAGAATGATATAAAATCGGACTAGTTTGTGACGTCATAAAAACAAAAATTGTCAATTAACTACTTTGAAACTATAATATGTTCTGCTAATTTATATTTCTCATACAATTTATAAAATTCAGCACATTTCAAGAATTTTTCAAAATTTGCATTTTGTGGGGGCAAAGATATGCAATATACCGCATATAGTTCTTTAGGGAACATACTTTTACCAATTGAATGACCTTAACATGTTGATGGGCTTTATTTTCAATGAGAATTCAAGTTTTCTTGTTAGAATATCATTTTTTTTTATTCGTAAGTCAGTAGTACTAAAAAGTCTTGAATATTTCCATACATAAACTCGTGTTTTAAATTGGATTAGATTTTTATACAATTTGTACCAAAGTGCTCAGAGGTATTCATACATGTACATTTTCTTCAATTTACTCAACCCTTATATACATTTGCATTTTGACTTGCTTAAAATATTTTCATGATATTTTGACTCTTGAAAATGTGTTTGCTCTCTTTTATCTGCATTTAAGTAGAAAATATAATGAGATCTATTTTTGGCAAAACTCTTAATTTTGAATTTGGAAATAGATTATTACTACTGCAGCCATGTAGCAATAGGATCAGTAAGTGAACCACTTATAAAACAACAGGCCCTCTCCACTATCTGTATCAACACATGCTTAATTGGTTATAATAGTAGCGCACTAAGGTCGTGTACCATTTCTAACACCATCTTAGTCATTAAGGGGCCTGTCGTTCTTCAGATTCTTAAGTTTGTTTTCTGTACATTACCATGTTTACAAGTAAAACTGTCCCTCATTATGACTTAGCCCGGTTCTTATTTGATTAAATATGATTGCGCAAATTATCGATAACTGTCTAATACTGGTATGCAAATTCTCAAGAATATTTAATTATAAGTTTCTATATAAAGTTAAAGTCCCTGTTGAAGTAAACCCGTCATAGCACTATGCATGTTTTGAGTAGACTTGTTTTTCATGATGATGTTACTGTTATATACATGTAACTGGACTAATCATGTTCTGAAGAAGATTTTAAAGATTTGTTTCTATATGTAACGTGGTCTTTTACTGTGGCCTGGCCCCGCCCCCTGAAAGTTTAGATTTTGGTAATCTAAGAGTCAAATTGTTGACTTCAATAGTTAGGAGTGGAACTTACGTCAAGCAAGGTATCAATATCAACTGGACGAACGATTTGAATTATTACAAGTAAGAAGAAAAAAATAGGGTTCAAATAAGGTTCAACAGTCCATCGAAGGAATATTTCTGAAAAATACTGGAGAAAAATGTCCTGCTACACATAAGGAAAAACAAAGATGATGCAACTTTTTAATTGAATGGAACCTCGAAAGTTTCGGTGACTGGAGTGCATAGATGAGAGTTATATTGACGAAATCGATTTATAATTAAATCATCTTCAAAGGTTTATCAAAGGATGATTTCCAAAATATTTAAAATATAAACAACAGACGTAAATGAATCCAGTTTTTCAAGAGGACGGGGTCCATGACCCTTTAAAATAATCCAAATTAGATTTTCTCCACTTTTAGAACTTCTCTCAACCCCAACAACTATTTCAGGGTACATTCGATCATTTAAAGGGGTATATTAACTCTTCCAGGAGATTTTAAACCTATGATTCTTCCTATAGATCTGTGAATCTTATGTAGACGAAACAAACAAACCATATCAAAACTTCAATGCAACCAAGCATAGTGTAAAAAATAGAAAGAAAGAGTAAGTCAGGGAAACGCTTATCACATACACAACAGAGTCAACCATTACATGTACATTAGGAACGTTATTTTAGGAATAAAGCTTATTTCAACATATACACTGTAATATACGATATAACAACATAACTTGGGGCAGTTTACGCTTTATAAGCCGCTCAAAATAACATATTATCGTGGATCCACCCTCATCAATAAGACACCAATCAAATAAGACACCAATCAGTAAAATTCGAGATCCGTCCATGGAAGTTTTGTGATCATTTTTATTCATGATCAAATCTCGCTGACAGATAAAGTTTATTCAGGTTAACTACATGGAGCAATAGGTTTAAATACATTAATAACTAACTAGAGCCGAGCTCGTTGCAAAGCAACGAATAGGTCTTCCGTTGGAGCTACGGAATGGAAGACGTAACCTTGAGTCTAGGTCAAATAATTCTAAAGTTATAAATAAATAAGCAACCTAGAGGCTTGTTAAGGAAGCAACTTACAATGTTTATACAGGAAAAAGACTGTAAAGGAATGTTATGTGCATGACCTTGAACTTTCTAAATGACCTTGTGACAAGCAATGACAAACTCTGTTATAAAAATACATAATCTGTGTATTACCGACTGGAAAAGTTCCCGTATGTTTTTTTTTTAGATATTCCTTTAGTCCACATATCTACCCAAAACATCTCATCTTAAGTGACCTTGAACTTGAGTGAAGGTCATGCCCCACCCTGCATTGTATGAGCAATGTTTCACTGGTACAAATACGATTGAGAATTTAAAGTTTCTCTGTCAGTAACAGTGACTTGTCCAAAAGACTGGATATGGTCAGTCAAATTTTTTTCTGAACATATATCGAATCCAAAGAATTTATTACTAGAAATATATCTATAGGACATGAATGCCCCGCCCAGTGTATATTAGTAAATAATGCACATTAAATCTGTATAAGTGTATTGACGTTTGTTGAGAATATATCTGATAGTTTCTTAAAAATTGAAATCTTAAAAATGGATATAGATTATAAAAATCCGTTCATATAATGCATATAGGCATAAACTTACATAAAAATATCTCAAATGGTTTCATAAATACTAAGCAAATTGCAAATTTAAGACAGGTGGTGTCAAGGGTACAGGAAAGTGAAGATCAAAATCATCTGAAAATGTATCAGGATACTAAAGTTTGATAAAAATGTCTTGAATGGATTCTTCAAAACCGAAGGTCGCCCGTGAGGCACAGTGGTTAGAGCATCTAATCCACACTAAGGTTTGGATAGCTCTCATAAGTGTGTATTTATTTTAGTATATGAAGTTGAGTAAAAATATATATTTTTCTTCAGAACTGTCTGAGCTAAATACTAACTGAATTACATGGACGTAGCATCCGGGGGGGGGGGGGGGGCACTTTTTTCATAAACATTACCTTTAGTAAAGGAAATGTTAATTGAAAGGATGAATGGCCTTCCCACTTTTTACCATAGTATAGTGATATGAAGGAATTGTAATATGTAACATGTAGTAAAAGTAGTAAAAAAAATTTTGGAAGTGAAGATAACTTGCCTTTGAAAAAGTTGGCCACTACCTCCCCCCCTCCCCGAAATAGGATTTTCGAGTTTGGGAAACTTTTTAACTTTTTTTTTTTTGGTTTTCTTGTCAAATTTTTTCAGTCAAGTAAAAAAAATTTTTTTTATATGTTTCTGAGTTAAACACTAACTTCAGAATAGTTAGGTTAAGGTCAAAGGAAAGGTAAAACAAAATGTTGATGCAGTTACAAACGTGTAGCCTATAGTACGTATCGGCACATATCAGTACATACATGTATCGGCACATGAAGTTTGATGATACTATCTTGAATGGTCTCTTTAGACAGATTTAATAAAGGTGAGATTAAGTTCAAAGGAAAGGTCAAAGTCAAAATATGTCGATGCACGAAAATAGCTCTCATCAATGTTAATCAGCATAGGACGTTTAATATTAAAAAAAATTGAACAGTTTCTTTTAAATTGAGCTTTGAACTGAGGTTAACGCAAAGCGGTACGAAGGGACAGACGGATAATGGGAGACGTACATGACAAACAATATATGCCCAGCCTTTTTATGGGGAAGCATCAAAGGTTCAATGAGAATGTTTTATTTGAAATTTGGAGACTTGTGAAATAATGCGTGGAGACCGATCCTATGGATGAGACCGGATAAATCAAGGTCCTGTGTCGTGGTACATGTAGGTGCTGGCATGAAAAGGATCCAAAGCACCTGATTCCATCAGGCATAAAACTTGAAATTAATAAATGCACAAGCGAATACGATTGATTAAAACAAATATGAGATAAAGTGAAATAAAATACCATAAAACGGGTAATTTTTACTGCTGTATATTTTTACGAATTTCGGTCCAAGAATGGTGATTTAAATTTTTACACGTTGATCTTTTACGAATTGAATATGTCCGTAAAAATTAAAAACATCAGACTAAAATTCCAGATCACATTGAATGCATTAACGGGCATTCGTACAAATAATGTGTCCAAAAACTCTATGAGAGAGAGAGAGAGAGAGAGAGAGAGAGAGAGAGAGTTATTAAATTGATATATCAATATAAACAATGCAACAAATTACATAATGAATTGTATAATTTTTTTAATAATCTTTATATACATAAGCAATGTACCCTTCATTTATTCATGTTTTCTTTTTTAAACACATAGCTAGGCACACGTGCACGTCTGGTATATTTACCGAAAACAAAGAGAGACAACTCAAACTAACATTATTCAAGTACAGCGTATTAAGAGGTCGAAGTTTTATTCAAAGCACTCGAAGTAGAAGAAAGTGTCCAAGATTGAAAACACGGGTATTCATTTAATTGGAAGACCTGTAATTATTAAGTCATTATCAGAAGTTATGCGTCTCGAAAAAAAAATTACTAAAAACGAGTAACCAGGTAGGTCTAACTGATTAATTAATTGACAGTGTTTGTATAATTTATATACAAGTTAATTGAGATTTACCTGTATGATCCCAATCGATGATTGGCTTAAAAGTGCTCAAAATACTAACAGTATACTAATTATATAGCCTCCATGGAGTGCATGAGCTTAATAGCAATTAGCATTACTTTTGCACATACCATGTTAAAAATTTATACGGGCCGTTTTATAAATTATGTGAAATTTTACGCGTTTAAATTTTACGGGTTTATAAACCTAAAAAAATACCCGTCATTCGGTAATATGAAAGAGGCGACATGATTTCAAAGCCAATTTCCACTATTGGAGTACACGTCTGACGGTGTATTTTTAACATTCGAAATGCCTGCGGCTCTCTGTGGCCACGCACGTTAAAAAAATAATGGAGAAACAAAAGAGTGATGGTAAAAATAAAACGAACATATAGTACATTACCTATCTCAAGACTTCCATCACTAATTATAATTATTTGCCGAAGCCCCTTTTCAATTACAATTTTAATAAAATACATTAACACGGAATAGAGAAACAATTTTGCGTGAACAGGCCAAAGAAAGCGATCAAAATTCAAAATGATTTTATGCACTAGTGTAAGGAATTGCGATTTAATGTAAGATCGGTGAAGTATTCTTATTGATTCGATTAATTAAAAACACAATTTTCTATTAATTGATAGGTCTTTGCACACAATGGATTTTATACACGATCACAGACCATGCAGACACTTGCTTTGTTTACGACAACAGGTGGCTGGTACACTAGTGACCTAGATAGGCACCGTGGGATTAGCGCGTTGGATTACATAACTACTACAAACATCTAAGCGAACGTGGAGATCAACTAAATGATCGTGAATTATTCGATTAATAAAGTTTAAAATTACTTATAATAATAATTAATGTAGAAAGATAGATATATTCTGATGAAGACGTGTTCACTATAAAACTAATTAATAATACATAAAAAAGAAAGATTAATTGTTGTAAAAAATTTAATAGTGAACCGTAAAGCTTGTATAAAGACCTTTTTAGAAGAAATTTAACAGTAAATACCATAGGGTATATTATTGATAGGAAGTCTGTGTAAATTATACACATGAAAAGGTCTGATTTCCTTTCCGAATAAAAAACGCTACCTGTTTACCTGGCCTGCTTTCTACTTCGTGTTACGCAATACCCCCGGTATAATCGAGCAAAACAACATTTTTATCAGATCAAAAAGGTGTAAAAGAACAATTTTGATCGTAAGATCCAGATCGAAATTTGTACCATTTTCGAGTTATAAATCAAAAGCTTTCAAGTTCCCTAAATCCCTAATTATAGGGGCCAGCCCCTTTTGAATATTATTATATGAAAGCCCTTGCAATTATGCACAACTTTTGTTCTACATGTCTTAACAAAATATTTTTAGTTTTCAAGATATAAAGGAAAATATGTGTAAATTTTCGCTTTTTTAGGCGTTCTAATTTTTGACCCCTATATAGCGCCATTTTGAATACAGAAATCGAAAAACAAAAACCGATGTGCACAAGTTCAATCCTTCTGTTATCTAAAAACAGTAAAATTTCTGCTCTAACTCTAGTGGTCTCTGAGCCTTTATCTGGAAATGAAAGCCTATAATTTTTCGTTTAAAGGGAAATAACTCATAAGCGGAAGTAAATTTTTAAAATGTTAGACAGCATTTTGATAGAGTTTATTATCGTCTATAATGTCTGAAAATTTGAGCAAAATCCATTGAGAAATGAGCGAGATATGAGGCCTCAAAGTTGGCGTCTAGGAAGAAAAAAAAAAGAATAATAAGAATAATCTTAATCATCAGAATCAGTAGAAGGTCTTCCGTTGGAAACGGAAGACCTTAATAATGGACATGTCTCCATCATTCCTCAGACCTCTTAAAAACACGATAAAAGTTACTTTAAGTTATCAGTAATGAAGAATCATACCGGTATGTCATTTGTAAAACTTTTGTTTAATTTATAAACAGGTTTCTCTCGTCAGATCAACAAGAAGCTTCCTAACTTTAATATGTAAATATAGGAAAAGGTCCTACATAAACAAGCACATGGGCGCAGACATTTTGGACACCCAAAGTTGTGCAGAGGAGAAAATGCTACCTGGAGCGTGATTGGTCAATAAGAGAAAAGACTTGTTATGTATTTGACAAGTGAGATAAAGTTGATAAAAATCTCAAATCAAGACTTCGGTTTCTTTGAGATATATAGGATTTACAGGTAAAAATTTGAAGGGAGGGGTGCTCTTTGGTTAGAGATTTTCATTTGGTGTCAAACGCACCTTGTTGTAAACAAATGGGAATTGAAAGTAAAAGTGCCGCGTGACGACAGATTTTTTCTGGCATGTTTTGTTTTCCAATATCTCGAACTTTCACGATAAAAAGTTCATTTACCAGAAATTCAATATATGTTTCAGTGAGAGGGGCTCAAGTTTGTATGGACGTCTATGGGAAAACATTTGGTGGTGTTTGTCCTATAGAATAGGTATGATTTCATCGATAAACATTGATTACAGTCAAAAAATCAATCAGTTCCTATTTTTTGGCATTGAGATTAGATTCTAGTTAGTTTTTACTATTTGTTTAAAAATGAGAGAGTTTGGGTAAATTGAGGCTCACAATAGGGACTGCACATAGTGAAAAATGCCAAACTTTTTGCCCTAGCTCTCATATTTTCAAAAAATGTACATGTAAATAGTTTTAAATAAATAGTTATGCTGAAATTTACTGTAAATATTGTAAATAACACAATATCAATATTTATGGGCATCATCAATTCACAAAACATTTGAATATCCCCCTCGCAGTTTGATAAATTCATTTAAATCCATGTATTTTATGAGTGTAGACATTGGAACAGATTGAGTAATTTTCTTTCAAATTTGTGTTATTCAGAGTTGATTGAATAATTTATAACAAAATTTGACTGTTGTTAACTAATTAGGTTACTTTGTTTTTACATAAGGGGCACAATCCAGCAGCAAAGCCAGTTTCAGCCATGTAATCAGTGCTGGGTTGAATTAAAAGTTATACTTTTTGCGACAATTAGAGACTACTAGTAGGAAATTTAATTTGAATTACTGTACAATATATTTTTGCAGAGAATACATTGAAAATGCACTAAATATGCAAAATTATAACTGAAGAAATTATGAAAAAGGTGTCTTAATATCCCTCCTTGCCATAACCAATCTTGATATTCGGCTTAAAAGGGGGGGGGTGTAATTTTGTGCTCTTATGATGCTGAAAAATGAAGGAATTTTGTTTAAATTTGGTTTATTTGAATAACAAGAGTCATGTTTAGTTGCAGTTATTTTTTTCAATTTCTTTCATATTTTTTAAAATAATTATCTGAGTAAATTCTATTTAAACATGATTATTTTACAGGTATTACATCTCAAATGCTTACAAGAAATTCAAAAGATGGTGTAAATAATAATAATAATAATAATATAAGCTTTTAGATGCATTTATCAGTATGTTTTAATAAAATAAAATGTATTCCAGCAATGCATTCTCAAGAAGGAAGAGATTAATGAACCCTACCCTCTTACAATGAACAACATATGGACACTCTCCAGATGATCCCTTTGCTTTCATTGAGAGTTCCATGGTATGGTTTTCTTAGAAAAAGTAGTTAATCTCTTAATTTTAAGTTATCTAGATCTTTTTATAGATTATTAAAAAATAAATTTCCTCACAAGTGCAGTTATTTAACCACTTTGCTTACAATTGAGCACTGTATTCAGTCAGACAATATGATTTATCTGCCCTTGGCATTTAATCAATTTATTAATTATGTCAATAATAAGAAATGATATGCAAATAAATATATTTGCATTTTATGAGAATATACATGTTTAACATCAATTACATGAAATGTTCCTGAAAATAGGCTAAAATGTCGGTCACCCCCCCCTTCAAAATTACAAAATTTTCAGTGGGGATGTATTTGATTCTCTGATGCCAGCGACCCATTGCTGATAAAATTCTTTTCAATCTTTTGTACATTTGAACTAGATAAAATTCTCTTTCTTTCCATTGATTATTTTATCTACATTAGTTTTCATTCTTTCCATAACTCAGTATTTTCTTACAAAAAATTGCTGATTTTCTTCATTTTTCATTTATAACGGGTACCTGCTACCCTGAATGATAAACATGACCTATCTTGAGAAAGTTTTAGAGATAATAAGAAAAAAACAATCAAAACATATGTTAGATTAACCATTTTATTTCAAAAGTTTGAAAGAAAAATAAAAAAAATGCTTTAATTTATAGACATCTTTTCTGTTTCACAGATGTGGGTCTGATTGACTGGGGTGTGAAATGTAACAGCCAATGGTCTACCTAAGCTAGAACTGTCGGTCCCAATATTCAAGAGGTGCGATAAGTAATGGATATGTGTTCTAAAAATACCAAATTGACCACTTTTTATTCATGTTTCTATTACTCTATAGGAAAAGGTCCTACATAAACAAACACATGGGCGCAGACATTTTGGACACCCAAAGTTGTGCGGAGGAGAAAATGCTACCTGTAGCGTGATTGGTCAATAAGAGAAAGGACTTGTTATGTATTTGACAAGTGAGATAAAGTTGATAAAAATCTCAAATCAAGACTTCGGTTTCTTTGAGATATATAGGATTTTCAGGTAAAATTTGAAGGGAGGGGTGCTCTTTGGTTAGAGATTTTCATTTGGTGTCAAACGCACCTTGTTGTAAACAAATGGAAATTGAAAGTAAAAGTGCCGCGTGACGATAGATTTTTTCTGGCATGTTTTGTTTTTCAATATCTCGAACTTTTACGACAAAAAGGTCATTTGCCAGAAATTCAATATATGTATCAGTGAGAGGGGCTCAAGTTTGTATGGACGTCTATGGGAAAACATTATGTGGTGTTTGTCCAACAGTATAGTTCTACTTTCGTTTTCCAAATCAAACAAAAAAGAAAGACAAGTTTGGCTTTCCAGAAAGCCTGAAATGTCATCTCTTTGGTATCAATAATGCCAAAGAATTAAACAGAAAGGGAGATATTTTAATGCAATGAATATATGGATTTTTACATCCCCAGATAAGTTCCCAAATGACTTATTCAGCAAACTCCACAGTAAAGTACGCAGTTTCTTTTGGCCGCAGTATATATATATGGAAAGAATGGACGTCTGCGAGAGCACCCAAGGCGATTTTTTCGTGAAATTTCATTCTAGCAGTCTTTGTGGTTCTGGGTGTTTACAATTTACTTAAATTCAAATACTTTCCTTGAACTATATTTTCTTAACACAATACGGAATTATCAGCAATAATTATCATTCATTAAAAGCAGCTAATCATTAAAGTTTGACAGGAATTAAGTTAATAAATCCAATTACAGACTAAAAAATGAACATAAAATTAATTAGCGTTGATCACTCTTCGTTCATTTTTTTGCAGAATCTACTTGTAAGCTTGTTCTTTTGTGCGAGAACCAGTTTTCCCTTCCCGTCAACAAATCTATATATAGAAATCACGTCATTGTCAATTCTCCTTGTGTGGCTTACCCATTTAATAAAGCATAGTACTGAGGATCAATATATATATACGACACACCGAAACTATAGATATTTATAAGCATCGTACTTCTTTTCTAAATTTTCCTTGGCTTTCAAATAGGCCTAAACCGAACACTCCTAAGCTAGTTCTTCTAAAAGAAGACCAGTTTCCAGGCTACTTGGAACTCTGTAAAACATCGAGGACTCCCGAAAGATTAATGGAGGCTTACACTAGGACTTCACTTCCGGCATACAATCTTAATGTGTCATCTCCCGAGGGAGATGACAAAAACATAGCGGCATAACAAAATACTAACCTTGGATTTGGCGAATTGTTTGCAGGAACAAAATAGCTCCTGCGTAGATCCAAATCGACATTGCGGAAAGTAAAATACTTCTCAATCCATTCACGAAAAGATATACACGACAATGTTTATCAGGGACCCTTTTAAGAGCTTAAAACTACTTTTTGAAATTTACGTAAGATTTATATAGGTAGATCTAGGAATTCCCTTTACTTGCTTCCACTGTATTTCAAAATGTGCAAAAAGAAAAGGGCTCTTGACATTTTCTATTACTTTGTCCTTTGTTTTACATAATTTTCAAAATATACACAAGTATATGAATGCTTTCAATTATAATGACCCTTATAGTGTAAGGTTATGTAAATGACACATAATCGAGAAAAGTGGTGTAGTTATGAGGACTTGTGATGTGGTTTGGGCTCAGCCGGTATTGACCTTCGAACTGATCATGAACACTGTTGACAATATTTCATGCAGAAGCAATATCTAAAATGGGTTACAAACTGTTGTAATTTATAAACACATGCAGTATATAATTAAGTCTATTTTATCAGGCACTTTTTTCAGCAACTTTAATTAAATGCAATGCCATCATCAGAATTTTGTCAGAATTTCCTCGTGTTGCAATGCGTTTTCTTTCCCAGGGAGTTTATTACTATTTTTAAATGAATGTATCAATAGGTTGATGAATGATTTTTACTTAAAGTATATATTAGAATTGTATTTACCCCCAAGTCATTTGTGGAACTTGGGTCATCTTGTTTTTAAATGTTTAATTTGATATAAAGACGTTTCTACTTAACCATTGAAAAATCAATTTTTAATGAGTTTGAAAAAAAGTTATTCAAAGATTCTTTTGAGGATCAATTATACTCGTAATTATTCCCCAGTTTGCACTTCAAAGAGCTAAATCCACGAAGTGCAAAAATATGCCCTGTCACCAAAATAAATGAAAATAAATATTCTGTGATAGTTAAGACTTTGCGAGTTATAACACAATTTATTTTTTAATGATATCTTTTCCAGTTTTCCTTTTATAGTCGTTTGAAATTGGTATTGTTTTCAAGTGAAATCTAAATGACTTTTGACGTTATATATACACATGTATATTGTAACATTACTTAAATGAAGGTTATTATATGTACATTATTTGGGGGGAATCCGCTAAAATAAACCCTACTAAAGAATTTGGGAAAATTTTATCATTGGACTGTTCAGAAGTTTCAAATCACGAGATAAATACGAGGGTCATTCAAAAAGTTTTTTCCTTAGTGGAATAAAAAAAAATAAGGACAAAATATAATTTGCATTTCTTTATTTCATTCCTTTTAAGTACTCTACTTTAACACGTATACACTTTTTTAGTCGAGAAATCCACTCCTGAAAATCTTTCCTCTATTCTTGTTTAGGCAGACCCTTCAAAAACTGATGAATTGCAGCGCCAAATGATGTCCTAGAGTTATAGCGTGCCGTCTTCCAGCTAAATGTCTTTTAAGTTTTGGGAAGAAAAGTCACAGGGGGATAGATCTGGAGAGTAAGCAGGATGAGGGATGACATTAACTCCTTCTTTACTTAGAAAATCTGTGACTAATTTGAACTTGTGGGCTGGAGCATTATCGTGCAACAAGAAGAGACCCTAAATACCAGTTTTTGGACGTTTGTTTTTGTATTGCTGTTTAAGTTTATGCAAAATTTTACATTTGTACATCTTTCCAGTAATACTTCTCTTCATGGGAATAGGAAATTGCAACACAACGCCCTCCCTATCAAAGAAAATGGCATAAAGAATCTTTTTTGTGCTCTGACATCGTTTGGCTATCACTGGACGCTTTCCATGTCTTGTCATCTAGACTTTAAATATTAAACTTTCTCTGCGGCTGAAAATAATGAACCCACGTTTCATCTCCTGTTACTAAGTCTGAAAATAGTCGATTTTTCCTCTTTTTGAATATTTTCTTCGCACATGAAACACGACTAGCTTTCTGTTCCTCATTCAGTAAATGAGGTATCTATCTTGCAGAGATCTTCCTATAACCGAGATCTATTGTAAGAATTTTATGAACTGCTCCCATTGATATCCCTACTATTCGTGCTAAGTCCTTAACAGTGTATCTGCCCTCTTTCTCCACTAGATCTTTGATTTTCAGCAAGTATTTTGCATTACTAACCGTTTTTGGTCTTCCGGATCGTACATCATCTTTAACAGTTTCTCTCCCATCTTTGAATTTTTTCAGCCACCTAGAAACGGTTCTGTATGACGGCTGTTGGTTTCAATAAATATTGTGTACCTCTTCCAATGTTTCCTTTACTGATTTTTTAAGTTTAGCACAGGCTTTTATGTAGCTTCTCATTTCTGCTGTTGTATTTACCTTCTTTCCCATGATGAAACTATAGAGTATCACGTGTAGGGTATTTTCAAAACTTGATAAATCTTCAAAAACTGAAGCAATTCTTTTTCTGCAAGGACGATGTGGTAGATAATGAATTCAATGAACCATAACAGTGTGTTTGAAGTGATCTACGTTCATTTTTTATGGATGACTTGGGAGGACAAAACTTTTTGAATGACCCTCGTATTGTCCTGTTGAATCAAAAGCAACTTTTTAAAATGATACATTAAGAGAAAATAAGGGAAAATTATTCACAGTATAAATATCAGCTGTATCCACAGTGTTGATTAATCCGTAAAGTCATGAAACAGTCAATATTAAGTTTTCAATTTTTTTTTGGAGGGGGGGGGGGGGGCGTATTGTAGTATACAGGCGCGTAGCTGCCTATACGCAAGTACGCAAGTACGCAAGTGCGTACACATCATTTTCAAAAAAAAAAAGGAAAGAAAGTAAAAGAATAATAAAAGAGAGATTTATTCGGAGAAAAAGAGGCACTATCTGTCTTTCAAATTATTTTACGTCTTATTGTTTCTATTCAAATTTTGTTCAGAACATTGTTAAAATCCAGTCTTTTATAAAATGAATTCGAAAATTCTTTCAGTAAAAAAATATTATTGAACCAAAATTTCCAACTGTTAATCCGCGTAATCCTGATTATCCAGACAAATACACGTATATATTTGATGAAGGAAAGCGATCTAAGTGACATTTATCTAAAGAAAAAGTTACAAGGGTTTTGGACAACTATGTACAAGAAATTCAGTTGAAGTAATGAATAAATATCGATAAAAAAAATGGCAAAATTCAAATTACTGAACAAAGTAAATAAAAATATAGATCATTTATGAATATCTTCTTTTACTGATGTTACCAATTTATAGAATTTAAGTACTCTTACATTGTTTAAGCTATCAGAATATAAAGGTTATCAAAAAACCCACATCCCCGTTTATATTTTGAAATACTTTAACTCCAATGATAACTTATTAAATTACTTCTCTGTTTTATCTTGTCACACTTGGAAACTTTTGATCAAATTATCCTTCTCTTCCTGAAGTATCCATGGAAGTATAACTTAGCTTAGTGTTTGCTTGAGAAAAGAGATGTAGCGTGATTTCTTTTAAAGGAAAATGACTGAATAATTTCGTAAAATCCAGGGCTTCGCACACTTCATTTCAATGCTGGCTACGCGCCTGGTACACTGAATAGGCAACAATAGGCTGTTTTCAAGTTTAAAATGGTATCGTTTTTGATTGATTTTTATCCGACTACAAGTTTTCAAAATATTCGCGACTATCGTTTCCATCAATTTGACGCATGCCTTAACACATATCGAAGTGGTTTGATGATCAAGACTCATTTTCATTGTTTACTTTATATATTTCCCGGGCGACAATTGATGGTTACATCAATGTTTTCTTGTATTTCTTGTTTTAACAGTGATGGATCCAGAAGGGGCGGAGGGTCCATTCTTGCATTTGCTAAAGAGAGAGAGAAAGAGAGAGAGAGTCCTGAATTTTTCTTGTGCTATTTATTTTAGAATATTTCATTTAAAGGCTAATGTAGTAATATATAGAAAAATTGCGAAAACAAAATTGGATTTACGGGTTCGGAGATTTTAGCTTTATTATCCTTTCATTGTCGAAACCTTTCTGGTACTAATTTTCCACAATTTTTTCCCAGTCTGATGACTCCGCTACTTTTAAAACGATACAACATCCCTTATCTGTTAATCTTTCTGCAAGCGTACGTTATTATACCAATTCTATTCCTCTTCAACCCACCTTCTGAAAAAAATCCAGATCCAAGCTTTTTTCACTTAAGTATTTACAAGCTAGTAATCATGTAAAGCAACATTAAGATTTGTCTTCAGAATAACAGTACTACTAGTATCCTATAATAAAAAAAATTAAAACGAAGATAGTGTACAGATTTAAAACGAAAACAGGCGATTGAAAGGGGTGAAATTGGAGATAATAGAAATAGATCTCTGTTAATAATTTAATGATAGCGAGCACAGCGAGCGTCGCGAAGCGACGCTCGTCACTGCGTTCGCGACGCTCGTCACTGCGAGCTCTTGAAGCAACGCCTGTGCGAAGAGAAAATTCGGACTACTGCACATTCATTTGATAGAATTTTTTGACGCAGCAATTTGGACCC